GATGCCCCTGCTGCTAGTTGTTTCTTTCTACTAATAGTAGTTCACTTGTTACTAGTAGCGATGCCCCTGCTGCTAGTGGCTTCTTGCTACTAATAGTAATGCACTTGTCACTAGTAGCGATGCCCCTGCGGCTGCCGCTAGTATCTTTTTGCTACTAATAGTAATGCCCTTGTTATTAGTAGCGATGCCCCTGCTGCTAGTAGGTTCTTGCTACTAATAGTAATGCCCTTGTTACTAGTAGCGATGCCCGTGCTACTACTAGTTCTTGCTACTAATAGTAATGCCCTTGTTACTAGTAGCCATGCCCTTGTTACTAGTAGTGAATTGCAGAGAAAAGGAGTTCCAACCAGCCTCTCTAATGGGGCATTCATAGGTTCCAGCGGCTGTTGGAGCTTATGACATTTGTGTAGCCTTGTATGCTTTCGCACGATTCAACCATGCTTACGTGCAGTCACTTCAACCGTGTTTGCGACCTTTGGCACCTTCCTTTCACAGTACAAATTTCAATGCTAGTAACAAGTGCATCGCTAGTAGTAACAAGTGCACTACTACTAGTAGCAAGAAGCTAGTAGTAGCAGGGGCATCGCTACTAGTAGCCAGAAGCTACTAGTTACAAAAAGGGCTGTGCCAGGTTCTTCAGACCATCACCACTCTGCGCTATGTACGAGGTCGGACCCAGCCGGTTGTGAAACATATTGTTGCCTAAGTTCTCTGCATGTTTTTACCTCCAACTTAACCAAATGAGCCTCTGGCAAGAAGACTGAGTTCAGGCACTGGCAATTGAGACACCCACATTTTGAGACTTGTTACTACTAGTAAGGCACTTGTTACTAGAAGCGATGCACTGGTTACTACTAGCGATGCACTTGTTCCTAATAGCTTCTTGTTGCTCAAAAAAATGGGGGATAGCAAAGGTCGGTTCATCGAGCAGATCAACGCAACCTCTGGAGATCCTCCCAGCCTGCTGACCAGCTACAGCTTGGCAGCTGCAGTCCTGACATGCTTTGCGCAGCTCTTGTTCTTGGCACCAGAGTCACCAGAGTCCTAAGCATGTACTCCGTATTCTTTTGTAATTACTCTTGAGGTAACATAGGCCATGAACATGCCTTTGTTAGTCAAGCTGGCGATTGGCATTGACATGGTCCAGACGCCAGTGCTTATCGATTTGTTGGGACCAGGACACAGACTTGTCCAATTTTACTCACGTCTTTGTCTATGTGGGGAGCCCTGGAACCTTGACCAAACACGGAGCTCGTCTCGCGCTGCCCAGATAAGGCTCGAACCTTCTTCGCTGACCAATCAGTCCCAGCCGCGGCGCTGATAGCAGTTCCTTGGGACAACAGTTGCCAAATGTGATGCTCTGTACTCAATAATGGAAAACCATATCAACAGCCTTTAGAAACGATCGCTTTGCTAAAAAGAACTGTCACTGAGGATACATCATCCAGTGCATCTGGACTCGTGTTCATTGATTTGGACCTGGATGAGTATGAAATTGGTGGAGTCTTTTTGTTTCAGCCTCCTTCAGATGTGACGTATGCTTCTTGGATGAGCTCAGACTGAAGGCACCATCCCTTGTTTGCTCTTGGACATAATGATTTATACTATGGTAAACAGCGTGGAGGATTCAATCCATTTTGTACTAGAACATTGCCAGACAAATAACACCGTGTGTATAATCACATATGTAACTACCATATTGTGTTTTGTTGATGTTTCCCTGGCTGAGTTCCTTGATGTTTCTTGTGATTTGCCTTTTGCACGGAGTCACTGAGGTCGAAACATACCAAGTGAAGCTGACATATAGCAATCCCACTGCTGCTCGCCATCACTCAGACGGGTCCCCCTTAGTCTTCTCACTGCTCCACTCCAGTATAGTCAAGCCCAAACTTTCCAGATGTGCAGCAGTTCTTGTGAGTTTGAAGACACTGAAGGCATCAACCAAGCCAAACAAGGCAGTTAACGCTAGAGGCCTCAAATGCCACTCAGGTTGTACAGCAGCTTGGTGGATCGTTGACAGCATCTTGGCGCCAAGCTGGGTCTTCTAGAGGTTTCAAGTACTGGTACCATGTTTGTTCTAAACCGCTGTTGTTCCAGTGAACGACGGACTGAAGGATACAGCAAACAAATTGGAAACAAGCAAAGGCAAAGGCACATGGGTTCAGAGTCTAGAGTGGGATGGAGCCATGCCAAGAAAGACGAAGCTGAAGCAGGGAAGTGAAATTCCTCGATTTATGCATTGAAGACACTCTTGAGGTCCACAGCACCGCGATTGCCGCAGATACTTGGATCGACGACTTCACGCACCTTGCTGTCTACACGAGGCAACACGCATTTTGTCCCTTACCTAGGGTAACGATGTGAATCTCCAACCATCGCTCCAACCTAATAGCGATGAGTATGGCAGAATATTTTTGTAACTATGAGTAAGTCAAGGCCAGCGTGAAGCAAGCATGCTATCTCTGCACAAGTCGCCAACGTTTCAGTGCAGGTCTTCTTTAGCAGAGCAGACTACCCCAGTGACTTTGCTGTTCAACGACACGCTGGGCCCCAAGAACAATGGCGACATCTCACAACATCTCACAACAAACAGTATTCACAAAGTCTACCGGGTACCGGAAGGCAAGAGATCCGGTTAAACTGTTTAGCCACGGCTGATTTGACCTTGTGATCCTAGGTCTGCCCCGGTTGTGGAGCTGCACTTTCCAGACCTGGATTTGGACTTGGGGGAACTTGGTGGAGACCTGCTGTGGCAAGACCCTGTAGATGACAGTTGCTCATTTCATTTTTAAAAGCTGCACTTCGAGTATCATTTCATTTCATCCATTTCATTTTATTGTTGGCATTTGTGAAGATGCTTTGCCAAGGGCTTCCTTGCATGTTTGCCGAGGTTTGGTCGAGAACTACAGCGTCTACATAGCAAAAGTTGTGGCAGAAGCCGAACCCTGTGTAGACAGCTTTGGGGATTCGAGTGACGAGGCTGGTGCACTTGATCTGCACGAAGACTCTCCGTCAATACCTCGACAAGACGCTTTGCTGAATCGCTTTGTTGCCTTGGCCACACTGCGGCCGCAGCTTCAGCCAGGCTACATTGGCTAGTGTGGTCCCATACGTCTTCAGTTAGAATCCCAGATCACAAGCGAGAGTCTTCGGCAGAGCTTGTTTCCTGTGCTCTATGAAGTTGTATTAAAGCAATCAGTTGACTCAGCTTCGGATTGTATGCTGAAGGCAACGATAAAACAACATATTGTTTTAAAACACACACACACATATATATATATATGTATATATATATATCTATTGTTTTGGAGTGATACACTGGGCCAGGCAATGGCAGTGATGTCGGCACTGTCGCAATTGATGCTTGATCAGCGCTTGTAAAGCCAAATCCCTTTTTAGGTCTTGACACCAACACTTGTTTAGGTCTTGACACCAACACTTGTTAAGCGCTGCTGCGTCAAGCTGTTCATCCAAGGATTCCAACAGCACTCTTTTGTGGTATGCCTTCACATGAGTTGGAAAACAAGCATTTGAGAATCAGTGTGCCAATGCAACAAATACAGCTGCGATGCGTCCAATGTGGAGACAATGCATTTTTGCCATTGTCTTGGTCTTTGGCAGCTGCTTTGTATTGGGCAATAGCACCTGCGTGGCATGCCAGGTGCCGATTCAAGTTGGGCACTGTCCCTGTGATGACCAACAACTGGTCATTTGCCTGCACATTGGGGGTGCATAACTGGTCCATGATAATGCATATGGTTTTTGGGGTGTGTTGCTTGGGCGCGACCTTGATGACCCGAGTTTGAAGTCTTTACATGATTCAATTCCATTGCTCTTTCAGTTCCTCTTAAGTTCCCGTTCAGTTCCTCTTGGTCTTTGGCCATTTGTGATGCACCCAGGACTATAGCGGCTGAAACCTCGATCACTACTTGGACTCACTTTTTGGTCTACTCTAGGCCCGGCAGAACTTGACTTCATGACTTCATGTCAGCTGCAACTGACATTTGTTTGAAGGTCATCCTTACAGGAGGCTAACACACCAACAGCGCACAGGAGACTGATCAAGAGTCACCTTTGGCTTTCTTCGAAGGCTTATCCCGCAGACATCTAAGCAACTTCCTAAAGTCTGTGGTGTTTCCTCATGATCTTGGTCACCTTAATTCCTGCCAGCTCGCAGGATATATGATGTGGATGCGAGTGCATCAGCGCTGAACTTCATTGGACAAGACTTGAATCTGGAGACCAAGACATGCAAAGAGACATGATAAATGTCACAGCTTCGCTTGGAAATGCAAAAGACACCAAAACACTTTACGACAAGTCTTCAATTTGCCCAGAACGTCTTCATGTTCTTTGTGAAGCGTGATGAATGCATCGACAATGTGTTTCACCCCATTTTCAGTCGCTCCGCCAATGTGCCATTCTTTGCCAGAGTCCAGCTGAGGATGATTTGGGAGGAAATCTCAGCTGGAGCCCGCCAGTGGTCATAGCCTGAGACAGACTGTGTTTGGATGGTGGTCATAACATGTCATAGTCATATCATAGCCTCATCCTGAGTATTGTTCGAGTCATAAAATCACAGCCTCTGGACCATTTTGGGCCGGCCTCACTTCACTGGTTGGGGAGCAGAGTAAAACAGAAGGTGTTCGGGTTCCTTTAGGAAGGCCCTTTTTGAGGAGGCCTTGTTGAAGGGACTCAAACACCTTTGTCACTCTCTTAATTGTTTCTTGTTTCTAATAGCTTCTTGTTACTACTAGTAAGGCGCCTGTTACTACTAGCGTGGCACTTGTTTCTAATAGCTTAAAAGAACCTGTGGAGCCGAACGGAGCAAAAACCAAGGAATCGCCCCTGGAGGGCTATGTGGTGTACTTAGCGAATAGTGCCACAGGTGCTGGGAGGGTGTGGAGGCTCAACTGCGATTCATCTCCATGTTCGTGTGCCACATATTGCATCACATTGCTATGTTGTAGTGGAACATAGTTTGGCACCTTCATGAGATTTCCATGGATAGGCAAGAAAACACCTCTCTCTCATAGACATGCTGACCGCAACACGATAACACATGCAGTGCATGAGCGCTGCAATCGAGACACGCGGGCCACGTCTTTGTTTGACCACTCCACCAATGCACATTTGGAAGCCAGGAGCCCCTAGTAGCATCTTTGCTCCTAGTAGTAAGGCCAGGAGCCCCTAGTAGCGTCCTTGCTCCTAGTAGCGATGCCAGGAGCCCCTAGTAGCATCTTTGCTCCTAGTAGTAAGGCCAGGAGCCCCCTTGCTCCAAGTAGCGATGCCAGGAGCCCCTAGTAGCATCTTTGCTCCTAGTAGTAAGGCCAGGAGCCCCTAGTAGCGTCTTTGCTCCTAGTAGTAATGCATCAGTTCCATGCCGAGGATTCGGTACTTTTCGAGACCAATAGCACCAACCACGACTACAACGACCTCAGACTCGAATTCCTCCGACGATTCAAGTGATCCAAACATGTCATCCAGTGACACCAATGAAACCAGTGACAGCAGTGATTTGATAACTGGCGACGATGCTGATGCATTCGACATGACTTACTACGAAGTCACACCAGTGGGTGCCTTCGTCGAAATTGAATCACAGACATGACTTGTTTTTGAGGTTTTGCTTTGGTGTGGGACAAGGAGTGCCATATACAATCACATATATATATAATATATATTATATATATATATATAGTTGTATAGAAGAAGTATACCACCGTTCGGTAACCCTAGAATGCAAGCCTAGTATCACTAATGCAAAGCAGGACTGAAACCCTCAATTGCAGGGGAATCATCCAAGAAACCTTAAGGGTTCGGATCGTCCAGACTTGCAACTCGACATTTGGCTCAAGCGAGAAAAGGTGCGCCCGGGGCGTTCAATCTCGCGTTTTTGTGGTTATCAGCCGTAGGCTCCCCAGCCTACGGCTGTGCCCGCAGCCATTACATCGTACATTGATCCGAGTGTTGAGCCGGAAGCAGTAATCGGCGACACTCTTTGGCGTTGTATTCCAGCCCCTCGCGGCGGTCGGCGCGGGTACAGCCAGAAGCTGCGACATCTGCAGGAAGGGATCGCCCAAGGGCTGTATTCGAACAAGTATCCTTTTGTTCTTCCCGGTGGACACGAGTACGCCCGGAGTTGGGGATTTACAATTGTTGAATCTGTTCTTCAAGGTGGTCGGGAGTGGGGAGAGACTGAGTCCGAGGAGGAGGCTGCAGAATCTTCAACCGTTCTTGAACCGCCTGCCCAGAAGGCGAAGCCGGCGTCTCCGAAAGCTCCAGTGGTTACAACACAGGTTATTTCGGTGCCAGTGAAGGCAGCAGTTGAGGCATCTCAGATTGTTTCATTGCCGGTGCAAGCGAAGCCGAAGGTGAGACTTGCGACATCGTCAAAAGGTGTTCCGCAGCGCAGGACAACAGATCTTGGAGACGAGCGTGAGGGTACAGATCTTCAGACGGAAGCGGCGTCGTCAGAGAACTTGGAACCGGTCCGAGAGTCGATTCGCCCGTCTGCGGTAATCCGCCCATCGTCAACTCCGAAGAGTCTTGCAAAGGTTTTGCCAAAGCCGCCGCCGAAGGATCCGCCTGTCGTATCTCCAGCGTCGACGACATCGTCGAAGTCGTTGCCGGTGAAGGCGGCGCCAGAGCAATTGTTGAGGCCGAATCCATTCTTGCTCCCGGACGGAGTTCTTGCCTACGAAAGGTCGGGCAAAAGCTTTGAGGAGTTGAGATCGTATCGGAACTTCAACGGATTGTTGCCGGAAAGTGGTATTGAGCGCAAGTTTATTCTTTTCCTCGATTACCATCAGGTGCTTGACAGGGGTGTTTCCGAGTCGGCATCGTGGTCGCACAAGATACCAGGAGACAACGTGAGTTTCTTGAGGCGTGTGAAGCAGTCAGCAGAGCGTGTTTTTGGGAATAGGGATTCAGTGTTGATCTTTGTATTGAGCCACATTGAGGCATCTTCAAGGAATTTGGAGGGACTCTTGAGAGCTTGCAACGATACAAAGGAGATCATTGAAGAGAACTTGATCCAAGCATTGTTCGTGACTCGCGAGAGGGAAGGGGTAACAGGGAAGTTGGCGACAGCCAGAAAGATTTCCCGTGGCTTTTCGATTCCGATCTGTATTGTGGACGACAACGTCCGTGTGATCGCAGAGTTTGCAGGAGCCCAGGAACACATCAATCCGACGATTCATTGCGTGCATATCAAGCTGAGGAGGAAGCCATCGGCCGAACGAGCCGAGGTGGTTAGGCCCTTTTTGGCAGGCTGCAGTGAAGACTTGGAGAAGTTGTTCCGTCACTATAAACAATGATCCCAGCAGGAGAAATCGTGCCGGCATCGCAGGGTGTAGCAGTAGCAGCAAGTACCCCAATTGCAGATGTTTCGTCTAGTACGGACCCCATGGAAGAAGATCAACCAAGACCCAGTTTTGTCCAGGTGCAAAACCAAACTCTGAACCAGTTGAATATCTCAGCGGACCCATCCATTGTTGCTGAGGCCCATCAAGAGATTGCCAGGGTGAGATCAGAAGCCCAAAGAGTAGCTCTTCTTGCCGACAGTGCAGTCCGAGAGGCAAACCAAAGGGTTGCAATGGTCCAAGGGAATTCGCAGGTAGCTGGCAGACGTTCAAAGGACAGCTCAAGAGAGGGTAGAGTTGGTAAGTCATCAAGCCAATGTTGCAGTAGGTCAAATCCAAAATGAAGCCCTAGTTCAGGTCCAAATCGCCCAGTCCCAAATCCAGCAAATGGAAGAAGCTTTGAGGTTGGCTAGGCAGGAGAACCATCAGATGAAGGCTTTTGTCGAGCAAGCCAATAAAAGGCAGAGGGAACAGGCAGAGGTCGTAGAAAGTCTCCATAAGGAGCACCAATTGCAAACTGCTGCAAACCGTTGCATTGAGGTTTAGGATCAATCAGCTTGAGGACACAATTGCCCTGCAGTCTAGGACCAGTCAACAGGCGATGAACGCCAACCAATCACCAACCGGGTCAGAGTCCTTCCGTGGTTTACAGGTCCCACAGTCATTCGCTCCACTCAGTCAAGAGCTCAATGGCGCGGATTTTCGTGCAGTGTCCGCGATGCCTTCAGGAACTTCGAGTGCCAGTCTCATGGACTCCGAGATGCTTCAACGCACCGGAGCTCCTCAAGCAGGTCTGAAAGCAGTTCCAGAGGGTAGTAAGCTAGTGATGCTGACAGGAGATGAGTTCGTTCAGGAACTTTCCGGGGATAAGAGTCTTGACCCAAGTCCAGTAGGTAGAATGCATAGTCAATCACCTCCTCCAATGATGTTGCAGGCACAGTCATCGCCAACAAGCGCATTAGAAACGCAAGTTGCACTTATGTCATCTCAGTTGAACGTGTTGGCAAATGCAGTGCAAGGCATTGTGAACCATGCTTCATCAGGTAGGGCAGACAAGCCTCGTAGCTCCGGAAAGCCGCCATCTTCTCCAGGTCCTTCGTCCTCATCATCGAGCAACTCGTCAGGGAAAAGCTCAAAGGACAAGAAGCCAGGAAAGGGTGGGTCGGACGGTGGGGGGTCTTCACCGGGTGGATCTCCTAGTGGTAGTGGGGCATCATCTCCATCACACTCCCCAATTGCCAAAGACGGGATTGATGCATATGCATTGGAGGAGAAGAAGCTCACGAGGGTCAAAACATATGAGTCCCTGAAACTACCAACTCTCCCAAAGAATGCTTCAGAAGCTAGGACATTCAAGAATGGCATGTTCAATGTGATTTGCAAGTTAGCCAAAGCGGATGAAGCACCGGCCTTCAAATGGATCAGCCGTTGTGCAAAGCCAGATGCAGATCTTTCCGATTCGTCGCCATATCCTGTTTTGGATCGTGTCTTGGGAAGCAAGCTTCTTGAAATGTCGAAGAACACGAGGTTTGCCACGCAGTTCCAAACCATGCAGGAAGAGGCACAGAAACACGGTCGTCAACCAAAGGGTCGCAAGTTGCTTTGGGTTGTGTTTGAGAAGTTCAAAATGGAAAATCACAAAGGGGTTTCTTTGACACAAAGTCATCTTCTGGGTTTGAAAGTGCAGGGTAATGACATCCAAGCTCTTGAGAACTTTAGGAACAAGTTTGACTATGTCTGGCAAGCCTTAGAGGTGGAAGAGAGACCTTCAAGTTCAGCAATCCGTAGTTTGCTTTTCGAACAGTTGAAGAATCATCCAAGCATGATGTTGACCATTGACAAGTTTAGGAATGCATCATCAGGTTCATCCAAAAGGACCTATCAATGGCTGTACGACAAGTTGATTGAGGCGATAGAGATCCATCAGTTGGAAGAGAACTCTTCAAACTTAGAGAAGTCTTTGTCGCAGTTCGCAAAGGTGGCAGCAAGTCCATGAACAAAACCAAGCAAGAAAAGCCCAAAAAGGAAGACCCAGAAATCGATGCCTCCGCCGCTCCCGGAACCGCAAAAGGTAAAGGTAAGAGCTCGAAGGGGCAGGGATCGGGGTCAGCCAAGGGCACCAAGTCAGATGACAAGCCCGATCGTACAAAGAAGCCATGTATGTATTTTGCATACAATGCATGTTCGAAAGGAAGCAATTGTCCATATTTACATGACTCCAAGAACATGTACCAAGGTCCAAAGCCACAAGCTTTGAAGGACAAGCAGGCAAATGCAGGTGCCGCTCAAGTCAATTATGCAGGTGCAGGTACCGTGCTGGCAGGGGTTCTCTCGGCAAACACGATCTCCGGATCGAAAGCTTCCGAGGTGAGTTGCGATCACGCACCATCTCAAGGGGGCGATGCAGAAAGTAGGATCCATAAAGCCAAGAAGCTTTGTAAGTCCGTGATCAAGTCAGGTTCGAAGTCATGTGTTCCAAGGGTTGGTATGTTCGAAAAGACGTTCAAGGTGTTTGCGGCCATGCTAGCATGTACGAATCCGATCGAGCCGCGTTTCACTCAGGACTTTCTTCTTGACACGGGGGCAGGCAGGAACCTGATCTCGGAGGCGCCAGAGAAAGTTCGCTTTGCCACTGGTGGTGGTCCCAGGCCGGGGTTGAAAGCGATCAATCTGCAGGGTAGCTCATCAGGTAATAATACATTTTATACCTTGAAGGATTGCCCAGCCGCATTAAGCGTAGGCATTCAAGTCAATGAGCATCGCCGACCGTTCGTGTGGATGCCAGATCAACTGCCGTTCATGGTCAAAGCCGATCGTGTAGGTGAAATGGTCACGCATGTCCCAGAGTCAGCAAAGATCTATGCAGACAGGGTGGACCAAAATGTTCCGATCCTTTCTGAGACGATTCAGGTGCATGCCATGCCTTTCAGTGAAGGTGGAAGCTCGGGAAGTGGAATCCGAAGAGAGTGGATGGAAAAGGTGCCAGAAGCTCCGCCTCCGCCGGAGCCACCGCCGTTACCACCACCTCCGGAACCACCACCTGAAACTGTACATCCAGACGATTTGCCTAGAAGCAAAAAGCCGTTGAAACTGAAAGAAAAGGTCCCGCACTTCGGTAGTGTTAGTGAGGTGGATGAACTCTTTGCCTCCGTCCCTGAAAGGGAGCCTGGCGACACTGCTTTGGACTCAGAAGATGAGGAACTCCATCCATGGACTCCATCGCTCAGACAAAAGCTAGAGTTACAGGTAAGTTCCCTGAATCATCAACTGACCCACTTCCCTAAGAACAGGTATTGTGAAATCTGTAGGAGAAGTAAAATGCAGGCCAAAACACACCGAAAGAAGGGTTTAGAAGTTGATCCGGAAGAGATGCCACCTTTGCACTACGGTCATAGGATAAGAGCAGATCACATCATCATTGGCAAAGATTTGTCCAAAGGTTCCGAAGGTGAACAGGCCTGTCTAGTATGTCTTGATGAGTATTCCGGATGTCTACAAGCATTTCCACAAACCAGTAGGACAACAGACGCAAACATCGGAGCTTTGCAAGCGTTCGGTGGGACCAGGGCACATGGGAAAGCACTCTGTATCGCAAAGACAGATGCAGCAGCCGAGCTTATAGATGCTGTAAAGTATTTGGGTTGGTTGCCAAGTCCTAGTGTTCCTAATGATCCCGTTCATAATGCCAAACTCGAGAGAAGCATTCGTTCCATAAAGGAAGGTGCAAGAGCAATTCTTTTGAAATCAGGTTTAGATCATCAGCACTGGCCTAGAGCAGTAGAGTATTTTTGTGTAGCTCATGCAATCACAAACCAAGCCCAGATTCACCCGAATGAGTCTGATGAGAAGAAGATTGAAAAGAGCACTCAGACTTGCTATGAAACTGCCGCAGGTGAAGCATTCACGGGATTGAGACTTCCATTTGGTTGCCTTGTATACTATAAACCTCCAAAGCACCGTGAACTCCCCGCATTCGAGCCTAGGACATATCCAGGTATCTTTGTGGGTTGGAGGATTGATGCAGGGTTTCATCACCGAGATGTCCATTTGGTCCTTGATTACCAGAATCTCATTTCAAAAGCTAAGGGTAGTGGTAGACCCATCCAAATCTACAAGTCTGAGCTTGTTGAACCCACTGAGGGGAATTGGGTTTTTCCATTGTTCGAAGCAAAGATGAACCAGTTGCAGTTGTTCAAACCGTCGCTCAAACATCCATCTATAGAACCATTGGAAGCGTTGCCGTTCGAAGGTGACCCTCCTGAGCCCAAAGTGTTCAAAAGACGGACATATGTGACTTTGGAAAGAGCCATTAAGTATGGTATTACCCCAGGCTGTAGAGGTTGTGAGCGAATAGCCGAAGGAGTGCCGCACACTGATGAATGCCACGAGAGGTTCCGAGTGTGTCTGGAGGAGGAGCGACTTGCAGCAAAAGCAAGGGCAAAAAGTATGAGGGTTCCACCAACCCCTCGTACACCTGCGGTTCGTGAATCAGCACCTAGCACTCCCGCGATGCCAGCTTTGGATTCGTCAGAGTTCAAGGGGGGCGGGGATGGGGATTTCTGGGAGTTTGACACGGATAGGAAAGCTTGGAAAAGGGTTCATGTAAGGCCTAGAAAGAAGCTTTTCGCCCCCGTAGGAAGAGATTGCCCATTTGATGTAAGTGATGTCTCTCAAGAACGTCTCACAGAGTGGAAGTGTAGAGGGAAGATCTCTGCCCATAAGGATGATTGGAACAAATGCCCATACCAGAGGATAAGTTCTAAGTCATGGGTAGGATCAACATGGTTCTTCCCTAGAGATCCCTTCATCAACGAATCACAAGCCAAATTGTTTGCAGCAACCGCCAATCTTCTTGAAGGTGAACAAAATGCCAAGCCGGGAAGCTTTGAATGTCTTTGTGCATCCATGTTGGCAGAGTCTCCAGACCCGACAAAACTGGCTGAAGAGATTCTCAAAGCCACAGAAGATGTGCCAGAAGCAAGGACACAAAGAGACGAATGCAAGATTCGAGATAAGTGTAGAACATGTTTCGAGTTTTGTTGTTCCAAGAATTCAAGCCTTGGTGAGGTAAACATGGATCGGGGCATAAACCACTTTAGACTTTCAATAGACCAAACAGACATGTCTAACGATGTCGAGGTGGATTGCTTGATCAACGTGATGCACCAATTCAAGGGGGCAGACTTGTATGGTTCCATACCGTGTGGTCCTTGGTCTAGTTGGCAAAGGTTGAACTGTCAGCAGTATGGTAAAAGATTCCAGCAAAAGCTGAAAAAGGATAGGAAAAAGTCTCTCAAGATTCTTAGGAACTACATCAGGTGCGCAGAAGTCATCATGCAAAATGGTGGCCATTGTGCATTTGAGTGGCCGAAGAGTGCAGAGGGATGGAAAAGTCCTGAGTTACTGCAATTTGTGAAAAGAAACCGCTTGTTCGTGTCAGAACCACAAGGGTGTGCTTTTGGTATGTGTGACAAAAACAATGTTCCGCATCTCAAAACATGGCGAATAGTGACTTCTTGTTGGAAATTGGCCAAAAACCTCGATGCGCACAAATGCAAGCATGAGAAAGGGTTCAAACATGCTCCGATTGAAGGAAGCGCTACGCCCAAAAGTGCATTCTATCCGTTGCCCATGGCACGGTGCATTTCCTATAGTCTATATGAAGCAGACATTCCAGCAATGCCAGTTGAACTTGTAAGTGAACCCGTAGGGCGTGAAGAGTTCTCACCTGATGAAGTTCTTGCCGCAGTGCATTTGCTTTTAAACAGGAATGAATGGCACAAACACCAAGGCTGGGAGGAAGCAATTCAGAAAGAGGCTAGTGGAATCAATGCAAACAACACTTGGTCTTTCGATGAAGTAATCTCAAGAAGTGATCTCATCGCACGTTCAAAGGCAAAGGGCGAAGCGATAAACATTGGTAAATTAATGACAATCTTATCAGTGAAAAACTTCGAAACCCCAGAGCTTAGAAAACTAAAGGCCAGAATAGTGTTTAGAGGGGATGACATTCGCAATGCGGACAACACACTTGCAGTACTGCAAGAAGCAAAGGTCAACCCGACCGGGCTTGCAGGCATCAATTTGAATCTCGTTTATGGGGCATTACACGGTCATAAAACCACGCAAAGTGATGTGACTCGTGCTTACACCCAATCCCTGCTAAAGACTAAGGTACCCACTTGGGTCGAACTGCCAAGAGAGCTCACCCCAAAAGAGTACTCTCACCTGGAGCGACCTTGCGTGCGCCTTGTCAGAGCCTTGTACGGGCATCCAGAAAGTGGATGGCATTGGGATAAGAGGTTTAAGGAAATAACGCACTCCATGAACGGTATTCATCTAGATGACTTCCAAAGCAGTTATTGGTTTCCAAAAGAAAAACTGCTAATGACCTTTTACGTAGACGACATGCTGCTCTCAGGACCCCAAGAAGCACACGAAGGCTTCTGGAAGGAACTGGCCAAGCATCTCGAGTTTGATGAACCAACTCCGGTTGATCGCATACTAGGAAGGAAGCATGAGGTGAACCGAAACAAACAAGGTACAACTATTAGGTGTTCTTTGGCAGACTTTGCTAAGAGTTCTTGTGAAGCGTATGAAGCACTTGCAAAGCAAAAACTCGCAAAAGCCTCAACTCCATATGTACCGGAAGGGTCACTGTTGGACACCGACTGGGAAACCAAAGGAGCTTTAGCCGAAAACGCTTCAAGGATCCTAATGAAGATCTTGTGGATGGCCAGACTTTGTCGACCAGACCTAATGAAGAGCATTGGAGATTTAACTAAACGTTTGACTCAATGGTCGGTCGCGGACGACAAACGTTTGTTCAGACTCATGAACTACGTAAACTCAACCCAAGACTATGTACTTGAGGGGTTTATGAAGGATCCAGTGGACCAGTTGCAAATTAGCCTCTATACGGACAGTGACCATTGTTCAGGAATAGAACATACTAAAAGTACCTCCGGCATTCTCATGGCCATCGAAGGCCCTAGCTCCTTTTACCCCATAAGTTGGGCTAGTCGCCGGCAAACGGCTACGAGCAGATCAACAACGGAGGCTGAAACCATCGCACTCGCGTCAGGTGTTTTCAGCGAAGGACTACCGGCACAAAGTCTTTGTGACACCTTGTTCGGACGGCCGACCATGTTGGCCTGCCATCAAGACAACGCTGCCGTGTTACAGATAATAGAAGCCGGATATAGTCCAAAGTTGCGTCGTGTCTCAAAAACACATCGTCTCGACCTAGGTTCGCTATATGAAGTCTTCGAGTCACCTGATGCCTCAATAGGGTATATCGCAACAGACAAGCAGAGAGCCGATCCATTGACAAAGAATCTGCCTCCTTGTCATTGGAGCCACGCACTTGAATTGTTAGGTATAACTTCTAAGAGCTTTCAACGCCAAGCCGTGTGAGTAGCGACCATGCTCCGCACATCGTAAGCCAGCCATCGTAAGAAGGGGGAGAAGAAGTATATCACCGTTCGGTAACCCTAGAATGCAAGCCTAGTATCACTAATGCAAAGCAGGACTGAAACCCTCAATTGCAGGGGAATCATCCAAGAAACCTTAAGGGTTCGGATCGTCCAGACTTGCAACTCGACATTTGGCTCAAGCGAGAAAAGGTGCGCCCGGGGCGTTCAATCTCGCGTTTTTGTTGTATTATATATATTTATCGACTCTAGACGAGAAAGAAAGATACAGCGAAAGAGCAAAATAGATTGAGCCGTGTCGATTACCAAGGCACCAACTACATATCCATCCCAGAAGGCTCGGTGCAACTCGCGATACGTCGTGCGCAACAAAAACGGAAACAACAATAAGGCAACATGATAAACAAACACTATTTATTTTTGAATTATTGTTATTATTTCTGTATATATATACACAAATAGATATTTTTTCCAAGATGCTCAGACTTGTTCTTGGACGGAACTTGTTCCAAGATGCACCACCAAGCAAAGAATATCACCCGATCAGTTCATGTCACAGGCACTCGCGGAGGCGGAAGCTATTCACACTTCCTGGTCTACACCAAGTCATCTCTTGCAGAGCAGACTACACCTGCTTTCCTGACCCTTGCAGAGGCGGCACGAAGGGAGTTAGTGGGGCTGTTTGGTAGTTGTTGGCAACTGTCATCAACATTTCAGTTGTTTCTGATTTTGTGTAGATTCTCATACTGTAAGAACTCGTACTCGTAAATACTATGGTGGCATTGTCCGCTGTGTCATGAAACCTGTATTGTCTAGTGGCTTCCAAAGACAAGGTGCCGCCGTTGTTAACGACTGTGGAGTCTTGGACATGTAGCACAATGTGCGGAACTTCGAAAACAATTATATGACTTCTATGGAGTCATTGCGGCTGAGCATCAATCAATGCTAAAGCATTTGAGCAAAAAACATGAACAATCTTCCTCACGAGAAGAGCAACATGGCGCGACATTATCTTCCCCCCTCAAAAAAATTGCCCATGCGACGCGAATCATCATCTTCAACATCAAACATCATCAAACCAGATTGCCAACCACAGGGGGCACCAATGACGCCCATAGCAAAAACAAGCAGCAACACCTGGCAGAAATCTAGCTGTAAAGCCACAACAGCAACAGCAACCAGTGCTAGTACTTCGTCATAATGTGGTCCCACCACAACAACTAAGTACTGCTACTGCTCGAGCTTCTGCTGCCGCTACTGCAGCCGCTAGCGCTACCACTACCGCTGTCACCAAGACGGCGACTACTAAGACTACTACTGCTGCTGCTGCTGCTCCTGCTACTCCTATTGCTACTGGAAAACAACAACAACAACAAGAACAAAAACATTTATCATGATTGCTTTCGTGTCTTGCTAGCTTGCGTGCCTACTGCTCAAATATTGACTTACCTTTTCACTTACTTACTTTTGTGGTGGCCTACTTGCTCGCTTGCTAAGCACTTATTAACTTACGCACTTACTTATTTACTTGCTAACCTATTTATACTAACTTGTACGTATGTACGTACGTGTACGTACGTACTTTTGCTTGCTTGCTTGCCTACTTATCTGTATGCTGCTGCTGCTGCTCCTGCTCCTGCCACTTCTACTCCTACTCCTTCTACTCCTACTCCTACTACTCCTGCTACTCCTGCTACTCGTGCTACTCCTACTCCTACTCCTACTCCTTCTACTCCTACTGCTACTCCTGCTCCTACTCCTACTACTGCTACTACTACTACTGCTACTCTACTCCTACTACTACTACTGCTACTCTACTCCTACTACTACTACTGCTGCTACTACTACTACGACTACCCGTAGTGCTACAGCTAATAAGTGCTACTACTATTGCTGCTGCTGGTGGTGCTCCTACCACACTACCACTAGCACTTCCACTACCACTAATACTACTACTATTGCTACCACCACCACCACCACGACGACGACGACTACTACTACTACTACTACTACTACTACCACGACTACTACTACTACTACTACTACTACTGCTACTGCTACTGATACTGATACTGCTACCCCTATACTACTACTACTACTACTACTACTACTACTGCCGCTACCACTACCACTACCACTACCAATACCACTACCACTACCAAAGCCACTACTACCATTACTACGACGACGACAACAACAGCAACAACTACTACGACGACGACGACGACTACTACTACTATCACTACGACAACCTGGACTACTGCAAATACGTTTACTGCTACTATTGCGCTGCTTGGCTTTGGGGTTTGCCAGGCGAGCCTTCGGTTTGTGGTGCCCAGCCTGAGCTTTATGGACTACGATCTGGATCAGGACGCAGGGTCGTGGCTCTACAGTGTTGTCTCTTGAGTGTTTTGCTACAAGTCCTTTTGTTGGTGATAGGTAGTTGAAGAAGACATACACAATGTGTGATAATTACTCTTCAGAATTTGGATGAACTTTGCCGTGCTTTGACTGACTGGGGCAAATTCAATATTTTTTGATGATTCGGTGATCCACTGTTTGACAGAAGAGGAACAGATTGGGGGGACCCTGGTCTGGACTGCGCCGCCTGTTCTTTGGCTGCATTCATCTGAATCCATTCACACGGATAAGTCGCAAGTCAGCTAGCAAACCTGTTTCTTCAAAACCATATTCCAAAGGCTGACCTCATTTGATTGGAACAGATGGGTTTTATTTCGGCTAACCGGAACATGATCATTGATGGCTTCAGTTGAGGTCATTGGTGACATTATGACGTATGAGTGGCTTGGGCGCACTCAACCACTTTTGAAAAAAACAAATGCACCGTACAGGTGCCAAGATTTGCGGATTTAACTGGTGTCAGGATCTACTTGGGCTTGGTGGATGATCAAAACCGCAGCATAAACCGCAGCTTGCTGGTATCGTTGCCGTATGACCAGCTTGTGTTCGAGGTGATTTGGTTGCAAAAGCTCGGGCACACTGCCGTATCTTTGTAGGTCGCTGTGGCTCTTGATCAAATTAAAGGACTGGATAACCCCACATATGAATCTTTACGAATCTTAAGTTTCTACAACGCGGCCTTGTCAGGAAGTTATATCAGAATTACACAACAGAGGGGTGGGAGAGAGGTGTGGGAGAGTGATGTGCGCGGGGTATGCACGAGGTATTGTGCAGACATGTGTGCGCAGCCACAACTAGCCGAAGCAAAACCCCATCCGACGTAAAACCCTATAGCCAAGCTCTTTTTCATCGCGCAGACGAAATCAGGTCACCTGGGCGTCGTCATGAGTATCACACGCAAAAGACGTCATAACCGTCTGTAAAAGTGAAGACCAAAGATTTTGTTTGTCACTGTCAGCGCATCATTTGTGCCTTGGAATCTATGTCGCAGAGCTTTCCAATTGGGACGATGCCGTGCCTGCATATGATCGAACGATGTTTCCAAGAACCTGCAACAGTCGGTCGATATTTGCATAAAAGCGCAACAGGACTGAACAAATAGAGACACAGCCAACTGCATAGGAAATGGTCCACGTTTCGTTTATGGTCATTTTGACATTGAAAGCGCAGTTTGCGCCTTGGTATCTGCTTCGCAGCGCTTTCCAAATTGGATCGTGTCTGCAAGAAGATACTCCACCTGCACATTGTCGAAGAATGTTGCCAAAACAGCGAAAACAGAACTGAACACACAGATGAGTGGACGTAGACACAGCCAACTGTATAGGAAATGAGCCACGTTTCGTTTATGGTGGTTTTGACATTGAAAGCACACCGAAACTACTTGTTTCATCTGGTAGATCCGGCACACTTTCTGAAAACCTGCACGTCAGATATCATTGGCTGCAAACCCTATGCAGTGAGACTGCGCAGAGAATGAACCCGAACAGCGTGTATAAAATTCACATACAGCGGCCTGGTAGATCCGGCGCACTCTCCACAGCGAAGCTTGAGCGCTCCGGGCGATTCAGTTCTGGTTTGAAACGTGATTCTAAACTGCAAAGCTTCTGAGACACTTCTGAAATCTAGCCATGTCACGCCGACCACGCAACAGCCAGAGCCTCTAACGGAGCATGGAGGTTCACAAAGTGCTGTGCCTGCCACGAAATCTGCGCATGGACGTTCACAAAGTGCTGTGCCTGCCACGAAATCTGCGCATGGAGCTTCACAAAGTGCTGCGCCTGCCACGAAATCTGCACGTCAAGAAACAAGTGAAAACTCTAATCGCAATGGAGGAACGGACCGGCGACCACCGCAGACAACCGCCGACAAGCGCCGACAACGCAACAGCCAGAGCCTCTAACGGAGCGTGGAGGTTCACACAGTGCTGTACCTGCCACGAATTCTGCGCATGGAGGTTCGCAAAGTGCTGCGCCTGCCAGGAAATCTACACATGGAGGTTCACAAAGCGCTGCGCCTGCCACGAAATCTGCACATGATCTCTGTGTGTGTTGTCTCGGTGTGTGTGATCTCTGTGTGTGTGATCTCTGTGTGTGTTGTCTCGGTGTGTGTGATCTCTGTGTGTGTGTAACCCTTGGAGTCATAGGGATGCTTTTGCACTCATTTATTTATTTGTTTTATCGCAGGGGATGAGGTAGCAGGTAGCAAACGGCAGTGAATCTCATTCCACTGCCCAACGAAGACGGTGGTTTGAGATTGTGAAGCGAGAAGGGACGCCTTCTTGTGTACCTGCAATTTTCCATTTTGAATGGCGAGAGGCTAAGCCAAGAACCTCATTGAACTTGGCTTTTCTGCACGTACGTCGTCACCTTGTCGTCCGCTCGATCGATGCTTTTCTTTTGGAGTTGCTGGCCACCTGAAACCTTTGAGACCTCCGCTGGATGGACCTCCACTTCCTTTTAGGTTTCTTTACTTGTACCCTTAGGAATTGGAACCCTAGGCCGGCGTGTGGCACCGCATTCAGTTCAGTACACAATATCTCAAGTGTGTTTGGCTTCGCGCCAACCCGGGATGAGCCCGCAGAGTGCCTCCCGTGGACCCGTTGAACGGGTGTATGTCGACCGTATCCATTGCCCGGATACAGAGCAGCTCGCAGCGAGCGTAGGTGGCCTAGGCCGTACGTCCGATGATTTTGCCCCATCTTTGGAATTCCAAGTTGGCTCATTCCTTTACGTGACCGCAGCGGTCAAAGCAGCCAGCCGCTTCGGCAGGGCACAAGGTGACCACAGCGGTCAAAGTATTTTGGGTTCATTGGGGCCTGTGGAGAACTTAGCCCCCTTCTCCCCTGCCCTCCCCCTTTCTTTCCTTGCTTTCTGGGGTTTGCCTGAATGGAAGACTCAGGATCACCCCTTTCCTTCTTTGGTGTGTCCCTGGACGTTTCTTCGTAGCTGGGAACACCTGCCCTTTCCTTTTCTCTCCTCTCCCTTTCTCTCCCTCTCTCTTTCTTTCTTTCTCTTTTCCCTCTCCACCTTCCTTCCTCCTTGAGTGTCCCTGGATGCTTTTGTCATAGCTGGGAACCCTTCTCCGCTCTTCTTTTGGTGTGTCCTTGGACGCTCGCGTCGTAGCTGGAAACCTTCTCTTTCCTTTTTCTCGTCTCTCCCCACCCTTCCCTCCTGTCTGGACCTTAGCTTGGGTTGCTACTAGGGGCTCTTGGCCTTCCTACTAGGTCGCCACTTGACCCTACTAGAGGCTCCTGGCCTTGCTACTACTTTGTACCTTTTGGCGCGGAGCTTGGAATCTTGCCTCCCTTCGGGGAGGCGTGTGTGTGTAACCCTTGGAGTCATAGGGATGCTTTTGCATTCATTTATTTATTTGTTTTATCGCAGGGGATGAGGTAGCAGGTAGCAAACGGCAGTGAATCTCATTCCACTGCCCAACGAAGACGGTGGTTTGAGATTGTGAAGCGAGAAGGGACGCCTTCTTGTGTACCTGCAATTTTCCATTTTGAATGGCGAGAGGCTAAGCCAAGAACCTCATTGAACTTGGCTTTTCTGCACGTACGTCGTCACCTTGTCGTCCGCTCGATCGATGCTTTTCTTTTGGAGTTGCTGGCCACCTGAAACCTTTGAGACCTCCGCTGGATGGACCTCCACTTCCTTTTAGGTTTCTTTACTTGTACCCTTAGGAATTGGAACCCTAGGCTGGCGTGTGGCACCGCATTCAGTTCAGTACACAATATCTCAAGTGTGTGTAACCCTTGGAATCATAGGGATCCTTTCGGTTTGTTTTAGCTTCACAGTTGTTTTCCTTGTGCAGCAGGGGGCCACCGGGGCCCCAGAGGAGCGGTGGCCAACGAAGACCTCCTCTGGGGCCCGTGTAAACGTACCTGCCAAACTGGTTACCTGTTGTTCTCGCTGTGGTTTGCTTTCACGGTGGTTCATGTGGTTCTGTTACTAATCGCTACTCGCGTTTCGTGTTTTGAGTCTTGCTGGACGTACTTGCGAATTTTAATCTTTTGGTAAAGTGCTAATGCATCTGCAGATGTGAGCGTACGTCGTCAGCCTGTTCGTTCGTTGTTCGGTCCTTTCCTTGTGGGCCTCCTTTCCTTTTGAAGACCCCCAGGATTCGATGGCTTCCTACTGGTACTCTTAGGAAATGGAACCCTAGGCCGGCGTGTGGCACCGCTTTCAGTTCAGTACACCCTATCCTAAGTGTGTCTGGCCTCGTGCCAGCCCGGGATGAGCCCGCAGAGTGCCTCCCGTGGACCCGTCGAACGGGCGTACGTCCATGTTCCCCGGCTCTGGGAACGCAGATGTCCACAGCGGACAGTAGATGGCTTATGCCTCAAGAAGTGGGATGTTTGTCTCATCTTTGGAATTCCAAGTTGGCTCATGCCTTTACGTGACCGCAGCGGTCTAAGCAGCCAGCCGCTTCGGCAGGGCACAAGGTGACCACAGCGGTCAAAGTATTTTTGAGGTTCATTGGAACCTGTTGGGACCTTAGCCCTCTTCTCCCCCTTCCCTTCCCCCTTTCTTTCTTTGCTTTCTGGGGCTTTCCTGAATGCAACGCTCAGGATCACCCCTCTCTTTCTTTGGTGTGTGCCTGGACGCTTGTTCGTAGCTGGGAACATTGTGTGTGTTGTCTCTGTATGTGTTGTCTCGGTGTGGAGGGAGGAGGCGGAGGCGGCGGGAAGCGGGCGGCGGGAGGCTGCGGGAGGCGGATGAGACATAGAAAAGAAGAACCCCACACTAAGATGTGGGGAAACATGTGTTCTTTTCCTACAAATCTAGGAAACCAAATAAATAGTGCGTGAACTATCCTGCGTCCAGTTACTAAGAGCATCCAGTACCTAATACTGTATAGAGCTACTAACTAGCTTACCTCTTCTCCCCCTGGGCTTGTTCCTCGGTTTGGCTATTCTAGACTGCCATTTCATGCATACGGGTTTTCTTTTGGATCGAATCGGGAATGATGGCGTAGCCTGAGGTTCCACCAGACACTGACGTGAATGCCGGGAGCCTCAAGCCTTGCCTTTCCGGTTTATGAGGGGTTGGAGGTACCTCTTCGATGTGCATAGTGCGACAAAGACTTCCAGATTGGATTCCTGTTGTCAAGGTGTAGACTTGGACTTTTGAAAGTCGCCCTAGTAACAAGGACGCTAGTAACAAAGGGCATCTCTGCATCGCTACTAGGAGCCAGGACGCTACTAGTAGCTCCTGGCATTACTACTAGGAACAAGAAACTACTAGAAACAAGGAAAACTCTAGTTACAGTTTTGTTTTGAGACCTGTAGGGACGCGACACTCAACTCGATGCCAGGACACAAGCCACATCCTGATTCACACTGCCTCGGAGACGATTGAGCATCGCACCAGTGTGTTCTTCGAGTTCTTTGATGCGATTGCGAGTGTGACAGGTGCCTTTCTTGACTGGTTGGTGACGGATGGGCAAAACCTATCAAAACCTTTGATATCCCCAAATCCATCCAAAGTGTTATCGGTGGCCCAACCGGTATTTTCCAAGTGTCGACGGACCCTCACATCAACAACTGCCGCAAACCAAGTGGGTAAAGAAGCTCTGTGGAAAGCCACAACATAGCGAAACTGCATCCGGAGAGGCGTCAGCTTCACCGACCTTGATTTGGATGAAGATCAACTGGGTGGGACATTGTCTTGGACAAATCCAGTGGTGCCAGATCGCGTGCAGGCGCAATTGCTTTAGCAGATGAAGGTGAAGGTCACAAAGGTAGAACAACATTGCTTGTGGCTACTTTTCTCCTCAGAGATGAGCGTTCATCAAGGGTTCAACGGCAGGTGTATCAGATATTCTTCAGTGCCGCTGGGTTAGTATGCGTGGCCTTGCAATGCATTGCATTGGTTTGTATTGCGAACATTTGGGTCGCCCTAGCCAGCCAGTCACGTCTGAGGAGAGTGAGCAGGGCTCCGAGCTCTTCCAATTGGGCCCTGACCTCTCAACAGGCGTTGCTGTTGGGCTCTGTCAAGCTTTGTGTTGTGGTCAGTTGGGGATAGGGTTTGCTGCATTTCGCTTTTGTGTGCTTCCTTTGACCTCGCAAGCACTTGCAGGCATTCGGGCTGTTGCCTTGTCGAACACGGAACGGAGGTCCTGGGAGTGGTGGACATATCAAAACAGTTCTTTTTCTTCTTTCTTGGGGATAGCTAGGTATAGCTAGGTAGCTTGGTAGTGAGGCAAGTAGTAAGAAAAGCTACCAGCAGCAACGACGTAGAAGAATCAATTTCATGATCGACACGGGCAATTTGGCTTTTGGATAGTGCAGAGCTACAGCTGCGAGCATGCAGTGTGGCAGGAGTGGCTCCACACACTTTGCGATATACACCAAGTCATCCTTGCAAAGACAGACGACTCCGGCTGCTTTGCTCATCAGTGACACCGTGGCAAGCGTGACGAATGTCTCCTTCCCAGATGAGGCCAGTTTGTGAAGACCGTGTCACACCAACCCAATAGCGATGGCCTCCAACCCAATAGTGATGGCCTCCAACCTAGAAGCGATGGCCTCCAACCTACTAGGGATTGCCTCCAACCTACTAGCTCTCCAAAGTTGGTCATTCAAAGACCCAGCTTTGAACATGGCTCTGTGAGTATTTATTTGGAACATCGCTATTGCACAAGAACTGACAAAGGCCACTTCTGTTTTTGCGGAATGCAAGCTGAGTGTTCATTTCCTTTCGTTTCGCCATGGGGTCTGAGCAGGATTTGGATGCCCTAGAAATTGGTGGCTTGCTTTCTTGGACGCTGCCAGCAGAAGTGACCTATGTGACGGAGTACCGGCAACTCGTCTTACTTGTTTCCAAAAGGCAGTATTGGCATGTATTGGCCTGAATCACAATGGTGTCAATCATGCAGAAAAGCACGAGAATTTGAGTTTCTTTTGCAATCAGCTGGTGATGCCAGCAGCAATAATGATTGCATTGTGCTCCAATCCAAAGGCTTGCCACAGTCCCCAAAATTGCCAGAGTGTGGCCCTGTGCCCAGGATCTATTTGGTGTCACGAATTCCGGAGGTTGAGTTTGAGTATCGCAGAATTCCGTTCAAAACCAGATGCTCGGTCTTCACTGTAGTCAGTTAATGTATGTTGATGTCTTAAGACACACTCAGCCACAAGATATTTGAACTACTGACAATGGGCGATGGTTTAGCAGAGCTGCTTGGAAGAACTGCTGGAAGCGTCAGGACAGCTGATGAGCATAGATGAAGCTCGGGCCTTTCACAGCAACCGAAGTAACCAAATGTCAACGGTTTAGATCGGTTTAGATCTTTGGCCAGATCTCTTGGTTCACAGTTTTGCTATGTTTCTCAGGGCAGTCTAGCATGTTTGGAGATTGCCGACCATATTCATTTTCTTGCCACAAGATTGGATGTCTTCCCATTCCAGGTCAACGATACTAGCAACACGAGCTCCAATCTCACAAGCGAGGAGCATGCGTTCGTTTTTTTTTCGATTCTGTGGCTGTGTCTTCTCACATTATCTCACACTGACGGAGCAATCCTCACTGGGTTGCTCTTGCGGCCTTACTTGTACCAGGAGGGCGATTTAAGTGATTCCACGAATGTCGTCGCAGCGAATCAAAGCAACGAAACAGAAGTGGCCGAGGTTACCAGTGCTGTTGCTCGAATTGAAAAGCCTCGCACGATGTTCTGTCGTTCGTCTCGGATTATGTACTTGGATGTCATTCCTCCTCATCTCGTGGGCCTTTCCTTCAGTGGGTTGAGCCTTTCTGGCTTTTTAGAATAGGATAGAATAATTTGAGAGACTTGTGCGGCGTTGTGCGGAATTCCGTAGTTGAGGTTGTCTCCACTTCCTTGATGTTCTACCTGAGCAATGCCACAGCACAGCAGATCCAAGTGGCCTTAGAGGTGCGGGAGAACTCACTTTTCACGCCTTGAATTTCTGAATGGACATATTGTTGATGGCCTGATATGGCCTGATATGGCCTGATGGCCTTGTTCACCTTGCTTGTTTTGGCATCTTTTTTGCAGGCAACTATTCAACGAGTCCTGCTAGTGCCTACCAGCGCAATCCTGGTGCAGGTTTCGCAGGCACTGTCAAACACGTTGCAAACCACGTCCTTGTTTCAACCACGTCCTTGTTTGGACGCAGAATTCGAACCTTTTATTTTTTTCTAATCTATTTATTGTTTCTAATAGCTTCTTGCTCCTAGAAGCGATGCCAGGACCTAGTAGTAAGGCCAGGAGCCCCTAGTGGCGTCCTTGCTCCTAGTAGTAAGGCCAGTACCTAGTAGCGTCCTTGCTCCTAGTAGTAACACCAGGAGCCCCTAGTAGCGTCTTTGCTGGTAGTAGTAAGGCCAGGAGCCCCTAGTAGCGTTCTTGCCAGGAGCCCCTAGTAGCGTCTTTGCTCCTTGTAGTAAGGCCAGGAGTCTAGTAGCGTCCTTGCTCCTAGCAGTAAGGCCAGGAGCCCCTAGTAGCGTCTTTGCTCCTAGTAGTAAGGCCAGGAGCCCCTAGTAGCATCTTTGCTCCTAGTAGTAAGGCCAGGAGCCCCTGGTAGCGTCTTTGC